TATTATTATATATATGTATTCACATACTGCCTTTACATAGGATGTTGCTTCATTCAGTGAACAGCACGGGCTGTTCTCACAGAACAAATGGCTATGTCAATATTTTATGTGTTCTTCATTTTCCTGAGTGTGACCATAGGGCTGATCTACTACTTGCTGGCTTGCTAAAGTGAAATAAATTTTTTTGTTTTTCTTAGGCTACATTATAATGCTGATCAAATTGTCTTTAGCACACTAATGATCTTTTAGTACACTTCTTCACGAGACAGTGCTATAAAGGCTCCAGCAAAGTGGTGGAGATCAAAGTCCATGGTAGCCTCAGTCAGCCTGACCATGGAATAAAGCAGGGCTCCTATGACAAAGATGCTGTGTAACCCCCACATAAGGTTGCCAAAGGTGTAAACAGTCAGACCAAATCAGAGCTGCAGAAGTAACTTAGCTTCTGTCAGCTTATTTTCATGAAGCCAAATTTCACCTAAAAGCCTGGATAACGTGCACATGGATGAGTCCTTGAGGAAGATGGCTGCTTTGTTGCAGGAAGTTTCCGCAGGTATCTCACTATACTTCTGATATACACAGACTTTGTGAGGCCGTGCTTATGTTGCTGGCTTTGACCAGGATTGCCATGGTCAGACACGTTTGCCCTTTGTCTTCCCAGCCTCTGGCTCCTTCGACGGTCCCATTCCAGTTGATAAGCTCTTCCCTTTCCCTCTCTTTTCTTTATCCCAGGCTCTCCATTTGCACAATGGAATAAAAAAATGCCAACCAAAGCAGGAATAACGACTCAAACCTAGCTTACACTTTGGCTGGCCCAGTAAAACTTAGCTCAACACGTCACCCCACCTCAGTGGATGGCAGCAATGCAGAAAGACGTAGAACACACATGTGAACACTCACCTTCTGCTTCGTCATGTCCAGGAGACCTACTGAGTACCGGTCGCAGTTCAGGTATGCTCTCACTGTGTAAAAAGCCTTGTGGAACTGCCTCTCAATGTCTGTCAGTTCCTCGAAAACCTTATTAGCTGACCACAATAGCACCTGCAGGATAAAATCCAAATGTAAGCATAGCTTTCCTTGAGAGCTGGGCTTCCCAAATGAGTTTGGAGTAACAAGGAAACAATTGGGTTTTTATACTACACTTCCTGAAAAGTGCAGTAGCAACCTATACTGCAAAATGTAAAAGCATTGCTTATTCACGCTGGGAATTATTAGGGAAAG